TTTTTTAGTTTTAGTTTTAGTCTTAGTTTTCATTAACTATAATAACCCTGATCTAAACCTGCCTGCTTGGAATAGACTGTTTGCTTGGCCTGTGGTAATGCTCCGGTGCCTAGATCATAATTATTCCTTGTCATTAGTGAGTTCTCCTAAAACATTTCTAAACTATACTGTACATTTTTTATTGTTTCCGTGCTTGACTTGGTTTGTAGTTTTTTTTTAAATGAAGTTAACCAGTTAAATTTAGTATCTAGTAGGGCTCCATCGCATTTGGCCAAATATATTGACATGCAGACTTTGGTTCATTGTCAAGCCTGTACACCTGGTCAACACATCAGACTCTGTTTGTCTCAGATTCTTCGAAGACAAACTGTGGTTCATGTGTTGCAAGACCACATTTCCTCAATAATACTAATCGCTTATCAAAGCTAAACTCATCACAAATTCTTAACAGGAGATCAGCTGACCTAAAGCAGACAGACAATGACCGACCTTCACAGTGGGGTTGAGCTCTGCTATTCACAAACTTGTCCCCATCAACATCTCTGCTCCTGCTCCCCCAACAAGAATTCTCTAACTCCTGGAAGAATTCAGGGCTCCTCCCCTCATTAAGGGCTGATAACATTGCCAACCCCTAATCCACCACAACGTTTCTCCTCCTTTGCATTTGGCTGCCTCCTCATTGACTTAAGCCTAGTTTATGCTTCTGCGTCACGTCGACGCCGTAGCTACGCCGTCGACACAGACCCCTACGCCGTAGCCTGACGTGCGCCTCCCAAAAATCCTAACTACGCGTCGCGTCGATGCGGACCGTAAGCGCTGTGATTGGTCCGCTCAGAATGTAAGTTCCGGCAGTTGCTTTTCCGGTCTTTCTTCCTCGTCGTAAAAACCACCTCCGCAAACGTTTTCTTTGTAGCTTGCGCTTCAACATTTGCAATATAAGCATTTGTTCTTCAATATTGATGAGCTCCAACAACAAATACAGCTGCTCCACCTCGGTCGCCATTGTTTACTGTTGTTTACTTTACGGAAGAAAAAGCGAGGATTCGGCTATAACCACACAAACACACAGCTACACCCCCTAACGCCATGGCGGTGAATTGCAGAGCAACACGTTCCCTCGACGCAGAACTTCGAATGCTCAACTACGGCGTCGACGTGACGCAGAAGCATAATCTAGGCTTTACAGAGCTCAACATCAGAGAATAGTCCATTGCCTGTCTCCTGCAAGGGGAAGGCATTCCCCTCCACCAAAGCAACATTAAAGCACAATTGTTCCACCTCTACTCAGCCTCCGTCAACAATTTAGCAATAACATGCACAGAGCCTCCAGTGCTTCCAGATCCCAGATCCAGATATACGTATCTCAAAAGCCTGCTTGAACTGCAAAAAAATGGTGTTTCATGTGCTATGCATTTATGCTCAGCATAGCAATACATTTGTCCAATCCGATGGAGCCCTACTCAGGGGCGCCGTATAGGGGGGAAAAGTTAAGACAATTCCATGGGCCCCTGACTGACAGCGGCCCCAACAAATAGGTCAGAATTAATATAAGATTATTAAACCACCATCACTGAGTATATATATATATATATATTTCAAATATAATAATACAATTAATGATCTTTTTGTTTTTACTTGTTTTTGGCAGTACAAGTTAAATGTCCCCATTGACCAAAAAGTAAACATCCATATTGACTGACAACCCCTCTGTATCTGCATGGAATGGTTTGGTCCTGCCTTAGCGCACTTATCGGTGACGGTGTTTGGTAGCAGTCAGTAGATGCGCCAGAACTACAGTGATCGCCATGCTGCCTAGTAAAATAAAATCTGGTTTTCAAAAAAGGAAAGAGAGAAAAGAGAGAGAGGAAAGACTAAAAAAGGGTGTCAATCTGTAACCTAGTTTTTCTCCAAGAGTGGTGGGTAGCCTACAGTCTGTGAGTGGTATTAACCTGTTGGATTAATGTCCATCGTGAAATCAGATAGCTAGATAGAGACTAGTGTAGCCTATATTTCACAAACATTCAATTAATGCAGGGAAATGTTTAGCAAGATACTCATATTAAAGCAGTTGTCCCTGCCCCTTTTAGCAGACTTAACAACAGATGAGTCGGCAGCAGCCCTGTCTTCCAGTGAAGAAGGTGAGCAACACTGTGTTCAATGACATGCCAGTTAGCATCATTGCAGGGAGTCTGTGGGGATTTCTCTGTCGCTCTTTTTACCATTACAAAAAAGGAAACAGAATATTTACTAATGACAGAAATTCGAACACAAATTATTTTCTCACATAATGATCATTATGAAATTTAATAAAAAACAGCCTACTGTCTGTACTGGATTCTGGACAGTTGGAAACATTGAGTAGCCTACCTCAGCCTGCATGTACGTTACAGACAATATTAAAATAATGCAGTTTGATGCTTTCATTTAGATTGAATTATGGCATCTATAGATACAGACTATAGATAAAGACTTTATTACCTATTGATTTAGTGATCACTTGATCTGTCTTGTAGCACTATAATAACCCTGGTGTGGAAATTCCAGTTTACATGTTTTCTTGTTGGCATATATGTGCAGCTAAGTTAAAAAATCTGCTGTTTTCATTATTTTGAGATGAGGATGTTAATTTATTTTGATTGAAAAGTTAGCCTTTTAGCATATTTTTTATGGGGGCTTTTAATCTTGCATCAAATAGTGAATTGCATGCTGTATGCAGACTGTTGCATGTACAACTCAATTGCAGTACATATTGTTCTAGTATTGAACTACAAGAAGCAAGACAGTTGCCTTTAAAGTTAGAGTTATGTAAAGCTTTTGATGGGTCAGTTATGTCCTAGAGATGTGGTGACAACAGCTGCGCAGGGGGGGCCAATTTGATTTGTTTTGTCATGGGGCCCAAAATTCTTGTGGCGCCCCTGCCCCTACTACCCTAGATAATAAATTAAAGATATCCAGATCATTGACCTGCCTGTCCAGGGTTTTGCCTGCATAGAGAATTGCGAGATTTTGACCCGCCGCTGCCTCCCCCAAAAATTTCTAGTACAGTGCAAACTGCTAGTGATCACGTTTGTCTGGGGCCAAATTTAATATAAGTGGTTGATTACTATAAAATAATTGCGTCGCTTCTTTATTACATTCCCAGAACGTGAGGGCAAGGTAACGGCACACACTGACTTCGTTTTTCTCTCTCTGTCACACAAAGAGAGTGTCATCGGACATATGTATAAACTCTGGGTAAAAACTACAGAACTTGTCAACATAGACAAAGTATGGAGAGCTGGAGGAGAAGACTGGGCGTGCTCAGTTTGGCTTGATTCTGTTGGCAGTGCTCATGATAAAGACACAGAGAGGAGCAGTAAATTACTGACAGAGCAAGTAAAACCTGTTAAACATGACCTTGTCACTGTCCAAACATGTATGAAAGACTCTAGATCAGTGGTTCTCAACTGGTCTGGCTTTAGGACCCACCATCACCCCTTAATGAGAAGCCGCAACCCAAATCAAAGAAAAATTTCAACTTTTCAAACTGATTTAATATAACATTCAGTAACACTTCAGTAACTGTGCTCTTAAAGTGTATTCAGTCACTTATTCATGCAATATAAATAAATAAAAAATACAATAAAATATAACCAACAGTGCACTATG